GTGAGTGCTTTAAACCCAGACGCAATTGGAAGGAGGCTCTCAATTGGTGCTTAGATTTTGAGCAGTGACCTAGAACTGCATCTTACCCACATATCTCCCTGTAAAATCATCACAGTAATTTATGACCAGAAGACAAAAAAACGCTTACAATTGACGAGCAATGGAACACACAATCTTTAAAGACTTTAGCGCGCTGGCATGCATTAACATCACAGGAACATATCATTTCAGATCTCTAAAATAACGTGCTCAAAATTTCCCGGTAATTTTAGAGGGACGTTTACAATCTAACTATTGTTTGTAAGACTTCAAAGTATATAAAAATTGCTATGTTATTTTACAGACTCTTTTAGTTTCACGTCACTTAGAATCACGTCACTGTTTATATAACAATGAGAATTCGAGAATTGAGAATTGAAATTAGATTGCACCAAAGACGAAACAACTGGCGTGGTCCAAAGATTTCAGCAGAGTATGGGGTTCTACTTCCAGAAAACGTCCCAACATCTGGCCAATTTTCATTTAACTAGGCCAAAAAAATGTCTCGAGTTTTTTAAGCAATTAACCAATCAAAGTTTGCTGCAGCTCAATCAAACTTCTTCAGCGTTTTTTTCGGATCTATTAAAAAAGACCCTTTAAAAGGATTTGTAGATTCGCACGCACTCTAAATGCCAATTTTCCATTCTCTATATCTTGCGAAAAGATCTCGCATCTAAAATATTTCTGCAGGTTTGAGCGCAGGTCATCTATATCCTATAGATGATACAAAAGTAAAGTTTCCATTGAAAAATTAAAAAAACACACCGAGCAGAAATATTTTGTCACTTTCTTCAAAAGTCGGAATAAAAAAACGGGACTGAAAATGTTCTGAGAAAGAGCATTCCTCACCCTAAACCCGCTACTTGTTTCAAAATTCCGAGGTAAACAAATAAACAAGCCCTGTAACCATTTACGTTACCTATTTTGATTTACTTGGCGCCATTGAACTAGCGCCACCTATAATAAAAAAAAACAAAATAGTGCAATCCAGGCAATTTTTGAAACTTCAAAAAGGCGATTTTTGACAGACGATTTTTGAATCTGTAAACTTTAAAAACTTTTAAGTTTGGAAATTTTAAAAAAGATTTTTGAAACAGGCGATATTTGAAAGGCTTAACTCAATTAGAAAAAAGACTGCTGGTATCATGGCGAAATCCTGATTGCTTCGAGTGTAATTTAATGTCAATGAAATGTATATTTTTATATTTTGAGAAACATTGGTAAAATTTAGTTCAGTTTTCAAAACCCTCATACAATATAACTAACATAACTAACTTTGAGGAGGGAGCGCGCCGAAAAAACGCATTTTTTGTCAATATTTTTTCAAAAAGTGCCCAAAAACGCCACTTTCGGCCTGTTTTTTTTCTACTTTGCCTGCGGAGCAGACAATTTTTGATAAAATAGGGTCTTCATAGTGTTTTCGGAGAGTTCGGAAAATCAAATTGGTCGACCTAAAAAGATCCGCAAACTTTAAAAAAAATTTTGAGGAACCGCCCCCTGATGCGCACGAATATGCATGTCTTAGGTCTTCCCCCACCATATTGTGATCCCTTAAAAACTTCTGCGCACCCCATTGCTCCTACGCTATGTAAAGTGATGTAATTGGAGTCTAGTAACGTAGTAATAAGTCCAAATAGCTGGCCTTCATTCTATTTGGTTTCCTTTTTGAGGCGTATGATTAAATAGCAGCTCGCGGGTGAATAGCATAGAGCAACAGGGGTGGAAAATTGCGGGTTAATTGTCCTTTTTGAGGCGTATGATTAAATAGCAGCTTGCGGGTGAATAGCATAAAACAACACGGATGAAAAATTGCGAAAAATACCCTCTTAATATTACGAAAAAAAATATCACAGACGGAATGGAAACTTTTTTTTATAGTGCGCTGAATAAATCGAAATTTTTCAGAGGTTAAAAAAACTCCTTTCAAAAGTGACTGAGAAAAACAACTAAACTTAGCACAATTTTTGTTTTTGAAAAACGGAGCAAAAGTTCGATTTAACAATACACAACAATCAAATAGCTACGCCTTAGCGGGTTTGAAAAACCAAAATGGAATGCTTGACGGATTTACATCGCAATGCATCCTGATGAAATTGTCCCGAACTTGGATTTTCAGAGGCACCGTTAACTGTCAGTTGCGCTGTTAGTTGTCAGCTTTTTAACTGTTAGTTGTACTAATAAACACAGAGTAAAGTTTGACTAAATCTGATTTTTCGACTTTTTAGTAACACTTCATTTTGCGGTCACGCCCAGACCCTATGCTACTTCTCCTTAAGTGGTCAAAACAGCAAAAAAACTCATTAATTCAAAACTATTTCTGCTTATGATTCCATAGTCGAACAATTTCGTGCTATAAAAACACCTAAGCTTCACTTTTTTTTTAAATTTGCTGCGTTTTGAAATAAGAGCGCTTGTTTTTGCTAACTGTTCCGACTTTCGTAACGAAAGTAACGGAATGTTTGTGCTCGGGGTGGGTTTTTTTTCTTCAGACAATTTTCGACTTTTTAACTAGCCATTTTTGACGAGTTTTTGTTATATCATTCGAAAGCTATTGTTTTCTTGAGCTTAAACTTGAAAAGATATTTCACCTGTGATCATTTTTAGTAAAGTTATGGGGCTTTAAAGATTGCCATTTTGGCCAATTTGGGACAATTAACGCGCGATATATTTCGCGCTATTAACGCGTGAGTGGAGATTTAATCCGTCTTAGAAATCGTTCCAAATTGGTTCAAGGAAGCCTATATGTTTAAATGTTTTGTTAATAGGAGCAAAATCTATCACTTTGTACTTGATATGGCTAGTGAGGGGATGTTTTTACAAAAATCTCATTTTTTAAATTTAATTTAATTTTATTACATTACAGTTATTACTGCTATATATACCTTAAAAGGCAGTCGGAACATTCAGGGCTTCGCCCTGATACGAGTAGTCTTGTTTGCTTTTGTTTCGACTCCTGAAAATTTTGGATCGATCTACTTAACAATCTCGCCCCCTATGGTACCTATTTAAGAATCTTCACCCCTATAAATAAATACAGTAAATTAGTACTGAGCTTTCTATTGAGTATTCTAATTTTGCTGCTTTCTGATTGGTCGAAAAGTCGACCAGTTTGATCTACTTAACAATCCCCCCTTTTCTTGAGAAGGGTGGAGATTGTCAAGTAGATCCAAACATTTCAATTCATATCTAGATTTTTACAATTTCGCTATTCGATAACAAAGGAACTTAACTGAACTTAAAAATGAATGAAAGTTCAACCGAGAACAAGTAAATTTGAGCCTGAGCAAATTTTAAGATTTTTCCTGAAACAAAATCATCACGATCTATATTAGAGTCTGAACTACGTTCATCGACTGTTAATTAAAAACATGAAGCAAAGAAACACGAAATTATACATCTCTTTCGTAAGAATTCATATTTTTCTATTAGCTCGGTAGGCAGTCCTACAATTCTAAAATTAATTAAGAAATTGCTCATGCATGAGGAGATCGTACAGTGACTTCGAAGTGTCTCGCTTGGTCGAAGCTGGTTAGAGAAAGCGGTGGTTAGAGAGAGTGTTGAATAATTCAAAGCGTTATTCAGTCATTGCTTGCAAAAAACCTCTAGATTTTCGCGAGATAGGGGGCTCTGATTTTCTTTTTTTTTTGATATTTTCGTTGGCTTTTTCAATCACTACCAAAACTGTGCAAGCATTTTGGTAATTTTTTGAAGGTTTCAGCTAAAAAAACATATTTTTTTTTCAGAGCGTGCTTGCCTTCCGAATCAGTTTATGCGCGCCGAAGGCACACTACGAAAAAAAACTTTAGGGTTGCTTGGCTGAAAGTGCAAGAAAACAGTATTCAAGGGTGACCTTCCAAATATGGATTCGGTCACTTTTCTGAGGAAGGAAGTCTTTAACCAACCCCTCATCGCCGACCCCCTCCCCCCATTCCCCACCGTAAATCAGATCCTGCTCTAATTGTTAATCAAAGCTGATTACCAGTTAGTAATTATTAATGGTTATTCCTCAATTTTACTTAATTTTACGCGCACTAACTTCACTTTGGTATGAGGCAGAGTTTGTTTCATCCGTGCTAACTGCAGGTTGTATCTGAAGAGGTCACAATACTTTTCTCCTCCATTCAAAATTATAACTATTACAACTTGTTATAACTAAGTACAACGCCACTACGATACGATGAGACCACCGAGGTTTTGAAATGACCGAGTCTGGACACAAGTCGACATGAACCGATTCATTTGTGGGTATATCAATTCTAAACATTAGTGTGAGCTTAAACATACTAATATATAGGGTGAACCAGATTAGGGCTGAACTCTTTTAAAGTTCACATATGATAGTTGAAAAGTTTATATACACGATCGCAGCCTATGTTTCTTCGTCTTTTTTTCTTTTTACCTATTTTCCTTCTTTTCCATTATCTTAGACTGACAGCAGCTAGAGAAAGATACCGAAAACATTCAACAGCTAGCTAAAGACACATAAACCGTAATCATCGAACACGATCCACTAAACTAAGTCTCTCTATGAAAGTTTCGTAGGTTGACTGTTCGCTAAACTGATTGAGTATAAAAGTAAACTAAAAAGAACATTGACGCGCTCATTGTGTGCTATGGTACATGACCACTGAGCCATAGATTACAATAATAGGCCCATTTATATAAAAAAATCTTTCTCGGGTTTCGAACCGCATACCGTCAACTTTTTTATTCGAAAAAAATAGCCCCCCAGTATCCACATGCGGCCGAAACAATTCACGCCATTGTTCAAATTTAGGTTTATTTTAATTTTTTGAGGTGGGCGGTGAGCTGTGCCTATTATTGTAACCTAAAACCGACGGTAGACCATGATTGGGACATAGCAGGACACTCTATGGCTCTATGGCCTCGTGAGAGAGCTAGTAACTGGACTGTACTGCACTGCTCTATATTTTAATGTAGAGTACTGGTTTGTCGCTTACCGTCGCGGTGTCTCCGCCGAACACCAAAAAAGTGCTCGTCTAGAAATAGATACACTGCTGCTGATTCAAGGTTAGATTTAACAACTACTTTTTGACGTTTTAATTAAATAGTTTCGTCAATTGTTCGACACAATTTGTAATTTACAACAAACAGATTTTAAATGGGTATGTGCTGCCAAACTTCCTAACTTTGCTGCAATTAATTTTTGATCTTAACTGATTGCGCTGATTTTCATATTGCCTAAGTTGAATAGACGCGCTAAGCTAATGCTATTAAAATTTTAAACATCATTCGAAATTATCAGGGTACATATTACCCAATTAAATAAGTTTTAGCAGCAAAAACAAACCCCAGTGTTATCAGGTAGTGTTACAAAGCTAAAAATAATTGGAAGAAAACAGCTTTTTCACGAAAACTATATGCTTGAAACAAGTTTTTTATCTACTCTAGAAGCACAAGTTAAGCTGCAATGCATTTCAAAGGTGCTCCCAATTTTTTGGACTCTAATTATGGCTTTATTGTACCAGATGTTGCATACACTGAAGTTATTATTCAGCACATTTAATTGACTTCTACTAATCAAAACATGTGCTACACCCACATGTGCTACACCCACATAATACGTTCAGACATGAAGTAAAGCAAAAAACATATTAACTTACGGCTTCGAAGTCGGAAAAGGGTCCCATGCTTGTCAGCACCATGTTAGACTCCACCAAAAGAGGCTCAGCTAAAACATCAAAATACCCATTATATCGAGAGGTCACAGGATCGAACCCCGTTGCAGGGGCGGATGTAGGTAGAGATTGCAGGAAGGGGGCGGAGGCCCCTTTTCAGGGGCTCGACCACTGCCGACCCAAAAGATTGCCCTTTGGTTTTGTTTTTCAAAATATATTTTTTTGGCTGATTGATCCAATTTTTTTTATAGAAGCACCTTTGGCGCTAATATATTTCAAATTTTGAGGAGGGAGCGCGGGCCGAAAAACAAAATTTTCATCAAAATTTTCTAACAAGTGCCATAAGTTGCACTTTTTGGCCTGTTTTTTCAAAAATTGTCGGCGGTGCAGAAAACTGGGTCAAAGTGCGGTCTAAATAGTGATTTGGAAGAGCGCAGAAAATCAATTTGATCGATCTAAAAAGTTTTTTTTTTAATTCAGCTGAAACTACTTGACTATATCTGATTTCGAAAGTTGGTCCAACGAAGTTCTTTGTTTAAAAAAAAACAGTTCGCCAAGCTATCCGTCATCTAAAAGATTGATTAAAGCAAAATGAAAGGTCTAAACTTCCCTAGTCGATTAAGGGAGGTTATCTAGCAAGATCTTGCAAGATTCTTGCAAAAGAGGGTTATCTTGTAAAATCTTGCAAGATGGAGGTTATCTTGCAAGATCTTGGAAGATAGAGGTTATCTTGCAAGAATCTTGGAAGTGGGAGGCTATATTGCAAGAATCTTGCAAGAATCTTGCAAGATAACCACCCCAAAATTTCTGTCGAAAAACACAAAAAAATAACAAAAACTAAGGCTAAGATCAAAAAAATTGATTCTAGAACGAGAATCCAAAACTTTTTCGAGTTGATCTGAAAAAAATATATATATAATTTTTCAAAATTGACAGTTTGAATCGTTAAAAATTGTGCAGAGAGTGCTCCAGATGAATCATATGGGTTCTGATTTGCAGTGATTCAAATTTTCTCAAGCTCAGAAAAAAAACTTCAAATAATTTTGATATTTGTTTTGTTTTTCCAATCGAAAAAAAATGATCAAGTTTTTATTTGTTTTTATTGAGCTTAAATTTTTGTCAGTTTAATAGTTTTTTAATTAAAAAAAATATATATTTTTTTCAAAAAAAAAAACTACGAGACCAAACTGTGTATTTTGTGAATTCTGAGCGGAACCCGCGACATAGACGGTCATTTTCTTCTCATATTGTTCATCTGCTGAAAGTTACGTAAAAAAGATCCTGGAAGTGGCGCAAAAACGTGAACGATTTCTAGTTTTGAAAGTGGAATTTACTTTTTAGATTTCCAGAGAATAGAAACTTTACTTATTGATCCAGTTTCCTCAAGTTGGATTCATGTTATCAAAAAAGCGCTCATCATAAATTGTTCTAGAAATTTAAAGAGCTTAAAGAGTATCTATTTTTTTCTTTGAGTTTTGAAAGTTGAGATTTTTCAACAACGGCAGTGTTATTTTTTAATGTTTACTTGCGTTCATTACTCCTTTGCAATCTTCGATTGGCTATGTTCTAGGAAAAAGAAGCTTTCATTACAAACGACTTCTTCTCAAATGCGTTTACTGAAGATTTCATGGAGAATCCATCAGCTCATCTTGATTGACGTAATTGTGTGAAAAAACTGAAATAAAAAAACCAAATTTTCATCTTGTGCTTAATCTTTGCCTGTATTTATTTCTTTAAATTTATGTTCTCAATTAATGTAAATTGTGTTTTTCTTATTTTGAGAGAGTAAGGTATAAGTAGTCGATCAAAACTTGATGATAGCCGCCTATCACAAAAAAAATAAAAAAAAGAAGCTTTCTGGGGGCAACCGCCTAGCGGGCTGTGTGTATGTATGCGTAGCTAAGATTGCTTCCTTCTTCCATGAACGCTACTTGGTTGTCTTCGCGGGTAAAGCTACTTTTGCCCAAAAAAATTGTATCTTTAAAGATCTTGCAAAAAAAGGTTATCTTTAAAGGAGGTTATCTTGCAAGATCTTGCAAGAATCTTGCAAGATCTTTTAAAGAGATGCATCCTCTTTAAAAGAATCTTGCAAGATTCTTGCAAGACCTTGCAAGATAACCTCCCTTGATCGACTAGGGTTATTTCTCCCCTCTTAATTTTAGTGGTTAGTACGCGTTGCACGACATTATGTATGAGATATTGGGGACGAAAGAGGAGAAGGTCGGAATTTTCGAAAAAGGGGGCGTAATGCGAAAAATGGGGCTAAACGGGTAAGATCCAATAATAAACCTCAGCTTAAAGACAAAGGGAAAAGGGATCTGCGCTGTCAGCATAGTTACTACATAAGACTTTTCGTCTTCTCATTTTTCGTTTCAGCTTTTTTATTAATGTTTTAATTTTTAATAGCTCTACTAATACCATAAAAGCGTTGGCAAAGCCTTCTGACAGCCATTGTTTGGCGCCGGAAGCATCAAGCAGCGGCGCAATAAATTTCCGACAGTTCCATTGTACCTAACAGAAGGCTACCTCCGCAGGTCGTTGAAAATGCCTTAAGACCTCTTACTGAAGCCATATTCCGGAAAACCAGAAAACCGACAGTTTTAGCGAATAAAAAAAGTGTAGTTCAGTCGAATCAAATTTTAAAATATCCCATTTTAAATAGAAGTAACTAAATTAATTTGAGAGATCAACATTGAGGCCGATTAAAGCTCTGCAATCGTGATTCGCTTTCAAAATCAAGCTATAGAAAATTTGTTTTAGCTGGGTCAAAATTTGAATGAAAATTAACATGCGCAGACTACAATTAACATTTCAAGTTTTTACCAATATTTATGCTATGATTTGAAAATTGGAATCTGCTCATGCTTGTTGCAGCGGAAAAATTTTTCAGAATGCGATATTTTTTATGCTAAGAACCAGTTGCAGAAAATGAACAGTGTAGAATGGTCTTTTTATTTTTTTATTTAATAAACTTTTTCTTTTCTAGAAACTAAGTGATTTCAAATCAATTAGTTAGTTGCTAATTGATACTTACTTAAATTACTTAGGCGTATTTTCCGATTCTCCATGTAGGCAGCTTGGTTGTAAGTCAATTGTTGGTTTTGGCACGTTACAAACGGCCTCGTTTTGAAGTAGAAAAAAGGGGTTAGGATGGTTCCTAAACATAAAACCTAGACACTGGCAATTCCTGAAAGAGGCTCAGCTGACATCAGTTGTGGCTGTGTCAGAGATCTATTGGCTATTATGGTTTCGTTGTGGGTTTTATTTTGTGGATGCTGCTTGTTGGATGATGCTGATGCATCTGCTAATCTAACTAGTAGTTGTTGTTGATTAATGGGTTGCTGCTGCTGTTAATTGTGGCTGAAGTTTGAATTCATGCATCTCTGGGCAAATGAGATTCATGTTTCTCCTTAAGTTATTGCAATAAATTTTCTAAAGTTCTGTTGTGTTTTATCCAAGTCTTTTTGTCTTATTGTTTTGTTTGTAGTTCGAACGAGCAATTGGTTTTTGAGAGTGTTTTTTTTGCGTTTTGTCGAGACGTTCTGTCCTGATGGCTTGATTTTAGTAAGTCGCTTGCTGATTGATTGTTTGATGAGGTTATTATCTCCTGGAAATTTTAGTTTCCCTCGGCGTTTTCGAATGCGTTGTTGTTTCTGAATCCGAAATCCTGAGTTGTTTTACCTCGAAAACTAGTAAAGAAAAAGGGATTTCCTCAAACAGGTTTTTGTCTCCGTGTTGAATGTTTTCGAAACACTTGCTAACAATTTTGCTGTTGGGGCTGTTTTTTTTGGGGTACAGCTGCTCTTCCATTCTTCTGTTGGGATCCAAATTGTTATTTCGACTGAGATCAGATTTGAGCGTGAAATTTGTAGTTGTTATTGATGCTGAAAATTGTCGTTGATGGGAGTTGCTTTCGTTGGCCAAAACTCTGGCCGTTTTCTTCTGCCGGGAATGATTCTGCAGGCAATGGTCATTGGTCTGTTGAGGCGTTTGATGATAAGTAAAACTTTTGTTTTCATTTGTTGCCAATTCAACTTCTCAAGTTTTTTCATCCTTCAGTGGGATGCTGTAGAGTATCGTCTGTGCTAGGAATTCTACAGAAATATTCAAAATGTAAGTTTTGAATGAAAACAATGTCTCTCTCTGCAGATGCTGGTTGAAGTTGTCTTGGCTGATTCATTCAAATTATTGATGCTAACGTGACTGTTGCTGTCGGTCTGTTTTCGTCATGGTTGATGAAAAAAGAATAGTTGAGCGTCCTGACCTTCTGAGAGTTTTTCCGTTGTTTCGCGTTTTTCTTTGTCAGTTCTTGTTGTTAAGTTGACTCATCTGTTTTTGGTTGCAGCAGCTGGTCTCGTTCCCTTACCTGCAGAGAATTTCAAAAGACGATGTTGGAGTCCGCGAGAAATGTTTGTGTTTCTTTCCTTATTGGGTTGCTGTAAAAGGACTGTGTTCAGATCTGCGGCTTTTTAATTTTCTTCTGCCTTAGTTAGAGTGCTGTTGTTTGAAAAAACTAATGATTATTTCAAACCCGTACAAAATATGTTTTTTTCTTTCTGTCAAAATTTGAAAATAAAATGGCTGGTTTGTCATGATTCTGTAACTGGTGCTGCTGATATCTGCTGATGGTTGTCTGTTTTTGGTCGGTTCAAACAAAATTGTTTATATTGCGTGATGTTCAGAAACTATTTTTTCTTCTTTGTTGTCTATCAAGTTTGGTTCTGCAAGTTTCCTTCCCAGAGATTCCACTCCGCGTGGATTTTTAGCTGATATTTTTTTTTTCATTTGTTGGTTAATAAGATACTGATGTTGCCGGTTTCTAGCTCGGTGCATATTGAGTTGATTACTTAAAATCCATTAGAATTTTAGTTTTTTCTGTCTGTCGTGCTGAAAAAGGAAGATAAATTAGCTGGTCTGTCAAGATTTTGTAACAGATGCTGCCGAAATTTGCCGTTAGTTGTCTCTTTTTGGTTAGTTTAGGTGAAATGGTTGCTATCACTTGATGTGCAGAAACTTTTTTCTTTTTTTGTTGTCTATCGAAAGTTGGTCTTGC